TTTTTGTATTTTAGGGGAGGGTCTACAGGGTATTCAGGGTTTCACTACTAGATCAGACTCATAGTGACCTGTCTGTTTACAGCCTCCCAAGAGCTGGGATTACAGGCGTGGGCCACTACGCCCAGTCTCAATTGCTACCTCAGCGCATTCCGGGGTTGGGGCCAGCATGGCAGGCCTGGGGATTGAACCTCTGACCCTTTCACTTTGCTTACAGGTGCTTTAATCCATTGAGCTATTTGGCTGGCCCTTCCAAGTGATAGTGGCACAAACTTCTCTTTTCAGTGAATCGAGGAAAACTAATAGTATAACTGCCTTGTTTTTATTTTTCCTTTTTCCTTTGTTTCCCACATCCCAGTTCCTTTTTTCCTGTTTGTTTTTGTGAGTACCAGGAATCAAACTCAGGATCTTGCGCTTGCTGGGCAGGCGCTGTGCCACCTGGCTATATCCCAGGCACCCTTTTTTCCTTTTGAACAATTTTCTCACAATATCTCTTAGTTTCTTTATTGTTGTTGTTATTGTTGATGATGCAGGCTCTCACTACATACTTGTGTCTCATAGTGATCCTCCTGTCTCAGCCTCCCTAATGCTGGGATCACAGGCGTGCACCACCATGCCCAGTTTCAGAGCTGGCACAACATGTGGAGCCCGGGATTGAACTCAGGACCAACTCGCAATGATCCTCCTGCCTCAGCGTTCCAAGTGCTGGGATTATAGGCATGCATCATCGCGCCTGATTCTATTTTATATTTTGAACCTTGTTTACTCTTTCAGTTTCTCACACAAGGGAGACAGTATAGTGGTTACACATATGAGTTTGATTTATTTCACATGAGTATAGTCTCAAGTTGTATCCATTTACCTATAAAAGTCTCTAGTTTATCGTCCTTTATGGCTGAGTAGTATTCCATGATATGAAAAGACCACATCTTTTTTTATCCATTCCTCAGTTGATGGGCATTGGAGTTGTTTTAGCTGTTACAGATTGTGATATTATAAACATGGGTGCCCATATATCACTGTGGTATGACGTCAGTGTTAAAAGTAAGTATGTTGACCAGGTGTGTTGGCGCATGCCTGTAATCTCAGCAGTTGGGAGGCCTGAGGCAAGAGGATCATTGCTAGTTTAAGACCAGCCTGGGCCACAAAGTGAGCTTAAGGCCAGCCTGAACTGCACAGCAAGACCTTATCTCAAAAAAAAAAAAAAAAAACAGTAAGTATTTTCCATTTGATGTAGTGGCACACACCTATAATCCCAGCTCTGAAAAAACTGAGACAAGATCTCTGCGAATTCAGTGCCAGCCTGGGGTACATAGTTTGTTGTTGTTGTTGCTGTTGTTTGGGGGTTTTTTGGGTTGTTTTTTTTTTGCGGGGGGTGTTTAGGGGCAGCTACGTAGTTTAAGAACAGCCTTAACTGTATAGCAAGGCCCTGTCTCCAAAAAGCAATGCAAAAAAAGAGGAAGACTCTTTTTAGTCTGAGTTCTTTCTGTTTCTTCTTATAATTTGTTTTATTTTGCTTTTTGAGACATGTTCTCACTATGTAGTTTAGGCTGGCCTAGAACTTACAGCAGTACTCCTGCTTCAGCCTCCTGAATGCTGGGATTACTTTACTTTATTTTCCCTCTTGTACTCTTTTTATTTTCCAGTTTTTCTCTGTTCCATAATATTACAAAATTATGAAGTTTTATGTATGAAAGAGAGTTTATTTTGTTTTGTTTTCAATACAGGGTTACATCTTATACCTCAAGCTGGTCTTGAACAATAGCCAGGCTAGCCTCTAACTCTCAGTGATCTTTGTGCCTCAGTCAGGGGCACAAGGAAAGAATGTAGCAGAATTTTAACCCTACTTTACCTATTTTTTTTTTTTAAAGACAGGTTATGCTGTGTAGTCCAGGCTGGTCTTTAGTTCACTGCATACCTCAGTGTGGCTTCAACTTTACTATGCTCCTTCTACATCAGCCTCCCAACTGCTAGGATTGCAGGTGTACAGCACCACATCAGGTGCCTTTACTTTTCATTTCCTGCTTTCTCTGATTTACAGGAGATGGCTATTACTGTTATCCTTTGGTTTCTATGGAGAAGATTTAGTAGTTTTTCATTGGAAGCAGTACAGTGAGTGATTCCTTGGTTTGTGTACTGAAGTTGTTCTGCAGTTTTGAAAAAGAGTCATGTTTGTGCTTGTGTGGGGAAGATGGCTGCAACTGTTTGCCATCCAGTTTGCAAACAAAATCAGAATTTTTGCCAACTACTTCTGTTTGTAAACCAAATTGTTTATAAATAAAAGCATTCATGAACCAAGGCACCACTATATTCATTTTTGGGGCAGAGGACTTGTCTCCAAATACAAGCTAATAAAGTGGCCTTACCTGAGTGTGCCCTTCCCTACTAACTGTGGTGTGTTGCTTGCTGTTCTAGGAGCCATGCTTGACCAGGATGGTGGGTAGATCAGCTCCATGCTAGAGGCCCTTGTGAGGAGATGAGGCAGTGAGCAGAGGCTGGGATGAAGATGCTGCCGGGAGTGGGCGTGTTTGGGACTGGCAGCTCAGCCCGGGTCTTGGTCCCACTGCTAAGAGCAGAAGGGTTCACCGTGGAGGCCCTGTGGGGGAAGACAGAGGAGGAGGCAAAGCAGCTTGCCGAGGAGATGGACATCACCTTCTACACCAGCCGCACTGATGATGTCTTGCTGCACCAGGATGTGGACCTGGTGTGCATCAACATCCCCCCTCCACTCACCCGGCAGATATCTGTGAAAGCTCTAGGTATGCACTTCCTGGCAAACCTCCAGGGCTCACCCCTTTCCTGGGTCTGAGGGTTCCTCATGACGCCTACATCTCTGGGTGTTGATACTCTGTCTGTGACATCCCTTGTCCCTGGAGCAGAGCTGGAAGGGCATGTCTGTTGGAGGGTCCCTGTTTTGGAGGGGAGGGTGGGATTTATTTTTGTCACAGGGTCTCACTGTGTAGTTCAGTTCTCACTATGCAGTTCAGGCTGGCCTTGAAACTTACTATGTAGTAGATGGTGCACCACCACACACCAGCAATGTTGGAGGGAGGGTCTTACAGCCATAAGAGCAAAGGACTCAACCTTCTCTGCCTCCCATTAGTAAATAACTGAGAAAAAACTAAGAAATTTCTCAAAAAGATGGTCTATCAAGAGGCTGAAGAGTATTACATTTCAACCAGTATAAAGTCTGCCTCTGAGAAGTGAATAGTTCCTGAGCACTGAGAAATTGGTTGTGATTGGTGTGTTTAATCTTCCACACCATGACAATTGCAGGTAACATCACAGAAAGAAGAGGCAGTCATCTAACAAGGTGACAGTTTCCATGTTTTGTCAGCCCTTGACTGTAGAGAGCACACACCCTTCCTCTCAAACTGCAATCTTGTATTGCCAGACAGCAGGAAGGTTGAGATACCACCGGTTTCCTGACAGGATCTGTGGGACAGCCTGCTTACATCTCTGCTCCTGTAGGAAGTTCCAAATTTGTTAATCCTCTGAACCTAGCTGGACATGGCCTGCTGCACTGTTTTTCTGTAGTTTCTATTAGACTTCTCTTTCTCTCAACTCTAGATCCAATTTATTATGAAAATGAGCCAGTGAATGTTCACACAGCAATTATGTTTTAATACCTTTTATGTGCTAGGCACAGGTCCTGCTGTCATTTTGGGTACTCAGATGAGATCAGATGCCTTCAGGGTGGTATGGCCATAGACATTTTGGGTGCTCAAAGTTGGGTTAGATCAGAGCCCTCTCTGCCCTCAGATTTTGCAATCTAATTGAGGATACTAGAAATAATACATTATAAAGTAAATGGCAGGGGGCTGGTGAGATGGCTCAGTGGTCTAAAGCACCTACTTAGACCAAGCTTTAGCGAAAGCACAGGGACCGCGCTTCGATCCCCCAGCACTACATGCCAGCCAACCCCGCCCCCTGGTGGGCTGAGCTGGCCACACACACACACACACACACACACATAAATAAATAAAATTTAAAAAAAAAAAAAATAAAATAAAGTAAATGACAGAAAGCTGAAGTAACAATTCAAATAGTACATAGTTGACAAAATAATTGCTTTATGTAGGTAGTAGGTGCCATAGTATCTAAATATAGTCAGAGATGCCTGGATCAAGGAGCTGTGTGTTAAGATTGGCTACCACTCTTCCAGGCCACTCCCATGGCAGAGCACCTAGGCTCCATTACTCACATCTTTCTTGTTCTGAAGAACAGAATAAGAGAGGTCTGTCACCACCCTCTTTCTGGCTTTGGGTTAGGAAGGATAAATGTTCATTGAAGTAAGAACTTTACTCAATCTGCTTGTCAGTTTGGAACATGTAAGTTTTAGTCAAAAATTAGAGAAGGCTTATATTTTCCAGAGAGCTCTCTTTAAAAATATGTGACACTGGGGCTATTTACTGGTCATCAGAACCATGGGAAGACAAATTGTGGCTCTCAGATGGAACTTAGAAGGTAGACCTAAACCCATGCTTTAGCAAACACTGATTCAAGAGAAATTAGCTAGAATCACTTGACATGTACATCTCTGTGGCATGAATCAGTCTGATTGGAGAGCTCTGTTCAAACATAGTTCTGAAGGCTGTCAGTCATGTGACTGAGTTTTAGGGTCTCCACTGAGGCCTTTTCCCTGGGGTTCTTTGGCAAAAAGCTCGCTATTTTCTGGTTCCTGGTATAGGAAAATGGTAGACTTTGAACCACTTACTATAAAGAGGAAGGACTAGAGATGACAAGAAGCTTCTTGGATCATGTGTCCCAGCCCTTGGTGAAGCAGGGCTGTCTTCTTTCCACATGTCTGCTGTAAGGTGGAGGAGAGGATACGTGAGAGTCCTTGAACCATTTTTGCAAGTACATGATTGCAGGGCTAACTCTATAGGCCCAGGAGGGCCTGTTTCAGCTGGACCCGGTTCAGGTGCTGCCTACTCCAGCTCCAAAGAAGTTGGTAGGGCTTATGATGAGATGACCATGAGATTCACTACTGTGTATTTTTATTTTTTAGTGAGGATTCTGGTTTGATTTCAGCCCTAGGGATACTGCCTAGGCCCTGTGTGTGGGTGAAGAACTGTTATGGACAGATCATCAAGACTGACCTTGAAGACAGGCATGGTGGTGCACACCTCTAACCCCAGCACCCAGGAGGCTGAGGCAGCAGGATTGCTATTGAGTTCAAGGCCAGCTTGGGCTACAAAGTGAGTTTAAGGCCAGCCTGAACTGTATAGGGAAACTGTCTCATAAAAGATAAAAAAGGGGCCGGGGAGATGGCTCAGTAGAATAAGCGCTTCCCTGGCAAGCTCAAGGACCTGAGTTCAATCCCCGGTT